TTGTAAACTTATAGGACAAACCGTGTTCTTTGTTTTACTCTTTGAAAAGTGCTGATTTAAACATAAAAACAGAATGGTGTAAAGTAGAACTTAAAATCTTTAGGAAGTCACAAAATTCTAATCTCTGGACCATTCATAAGAGTATTCTGTATATATAATGCAAATGTATTATATATACATATCTATGCATACATCTATGTGTAGATATGTATATGTGTGTATATATGTATGTATACACTTAAAAGAAGGAAACAAAGATCAGTAGAATCCAAGAAACAAATCAAAGGATTGGCCTAATTTTACTATATTACAGGTAAATGTTCATAACATTTGCTAGGACAAGGAGCTACATGATTAGAAGTGAATTTTAGTCATAAAGTGAATATTACTTGCGATGTGACATGGAAGTCCACCAGACAATCATTTGAAAGTTGATTTAAACTGTCATAAGAATATGTATATCATTATAATAATTTATGGAGCCTCTTTTATATGCATGGAGGTGAATAAAGAACCTTCATCTACCAATAAACCTTTCGTACATCTTGTACACACTGTATATTTTAAAATATCAAACAAAAATGTTGAGGGTAATAGCTTAACACTGTAACCTTACCTACTTAGGAGGCAGAGATTAGAGGATTGTGGTTTGAGTCTAGGCAGGGCAAACAAACAAACAAAAAAACCCCCTGTGCACTAAATTACATCTCAACCAGTAGCAGGGTACAGTGATGCATGCCTGTTATTCCGAATATATGGGGCACAATAGTCAGGCTCAGTAATTCACAGCTGTCATTCATTCCCAGCAACTCAGGGACACACCGATAGGAAGCTTACACCGAGGTATACAACAAAACCCTTTCTGAAAAATAACCAATATAAAAACGCCTCAGAGTATAGCTCACATGCCAGAGCTCTTGAGTTCAAACAAGAGTAACACCAAAACTAAACAACTTTAAAAAATGCTATCTTTTATTAAACAGTAACAACAAAAAAGCCCTTTTAATTTGAAGTGACTAATCCACTAAAAAGAAAAAGTAAAGATGGGAAAGAATAGAATCTCTCAGAAGAAAAGAGATCCTGGTTGTACCAGACATCCTGTCTGGGAAATATATTTGCATACCCCATGTATTGACTAAGCTTTGTATTTAAGTCCATTTTGTTCCCTGCTCCCACAAATACCATATGAATTATTTGGGTATAGAAAGCCAGGACAATACTAAAGAGTAAGATTTGCCTTAAAAGATCAGCATTAATTGGTAATTCCATGTGAATAATTTTAGTCAACGTCAGTTTCTTCCATAACTTCATGAAATCACCACCCCCATATTAGAGATAATTTTTGAAGGCATGAGTTAGAGAGAATGAATTTGGAATTTGGAACACCATATGAAATGATGTCTGCTGTTCCTTCAACCCGTCCCCTCCCAGCCTACAAAGTAGAGTTGTTAGGACCCCTGAGGAAACAGAAAAGTAGTACAATTTAAGTGTCTCTAATGTTAAAACCCATAATCTGGATGTAGTCAGAGAGAGAGATTAAGTCATGGTATACAGACACTGCCACCCTCCAACGAACAATCAATGAATAATAGTATAACTGTAGTCCAAAAATTAATTTGTAGGCTAAATAGTCTTTATCTTTGTCTAGCTAGATTATTCCAAATGAATTCTTAACTGTTTCTGTAGGAAAATGTGTTGAGAGTTCTCAATTCCAAACAAACTACTTGAAACAACCTGTTCACAAGTTTAGGACAGCTTGTACACTGTATGTTTTGGATTTAAGAAGTTAAATGACACCTTACTGTATAAAAGTGTTTATGGCATGTGATTCATATAACTATTATTAATCTTCTTCAATAAATTTCACTGAAATACCCAAAGGTGTGCTAAAATTTAAACCACTGCAAAATGTGCTTGGTAAATTTCCAAGAACAGATTGACTTGCGATATTTTCAATGTCCAAAAATTCATCTTTCAGTCACAAAGTAAAGAATGCCATGTTGCATATTTCAACACTTACGTCTTTCACCTTAAATAAAAATGAAATCTAAATGTAGCTAATACCAAAAGCAAACCAATCAAAAATATTAATGTTTAAAGTACCTTTGATTTAGTTTTAAAAGACAGGAAATAAAACTTTGGAGTTGGTAATAAGAAGCTTAGGTAATATTAAAGATACTCAAAAACTAAAATCAGAGGCTACAGAAGTGATATCAATTTTCCAAAATACCATTGCGTGTTATTGATGCCCAAAAGCTTTCAGATGGCCTTTGAAATCACTGGACAGTCCTTCACCATAAATGATAGAAATGATGTTAAATGTTTTCTGTCCATCTAAATGATAAGAATGTACTGTCTTTATTATAAATCAAGCTAGAGATAAGTCAATGAAAGTTTAGGTATCTTTTTTCACTCTGAATTACACACTTATCTCTAAATTATCTTAACTGTTTGAAATTTAAGACCAATCAACACTAACAAACAGCTATTGTCTGAATATTTTTACCCACAGTTAATGAATTAAATACAATTCCTCAAGACTCAATGTTTCATAACCTTTATGTACTGCCAATTAATAATTAAATACTTAGATAGCATATGTTATCTCTCCTCTATTTTTTTGTTTTCAGATGTATTTTTAGTTTTAGTCATTGCCTTCCTGAACTTAGATATTACACTTAAATTACCATTTGTTCATCAATTATATCAATACCTACTTCTTCCAATTAATAAGAGGTAATTAAGGGGCTGGGAAAATGGCTCAGTGGTATAGCGCTTGCCTTGCATGCTCGAGGCCCTGGGTTCGATTCCTCAGCACCACATAAGCAAAAAAAAGAAAAAAGCCGGAAGTGGCACTGTGGCTCAAGTGGTAGAGCGCTAGCCTTGAGCTGAAGAGCTGAGGGACAGCACCCAGGCCCAGAGTTCAGGCCCCACGACTAGACCAAAAAAAGGAAAAAAAAAGAGGTAATTAATAATCCATACTCCACCTCTCTTGCCTACAATAAAATTTGAGCTATAACTATATTTTATATTATGAGGGTTTGTCATTTATATTGTTTGTCATGTGATTTAAGAGGACTATAGCTTGATTTTTAAAATTAAAAAATTAAATTGGCCCAATAGAAAATTTAACAGTAATATCTTAACATTTGTTTTAAAGATGAAATTTCCACGCTTCAAAATCTGCTCTCATTTTCTCAAACTTTCTTGTCTTAGCCATACTTCACTTTTATAACAACTTACAATTCATGTGTTTGTTTTCCTAAGATCCCTTTGCTTGTTTTGCTTTTGGACTACTTGAATAATCTTTGCATACTGAGCAGGTGATGACTAAGTAAACAAAGTTATTGCCTGATTAAAAGTCTCTTTTACAGAATAAAAACTACAATTAAATGTCTTTTTGTCTAACTTTGAAGACATTGAGTAGTTGAAATTTTAATAGTCGTGGTATTCTAATTTCTTTAAATGTGGTATTCCTTTAGATAGATAGTTTTTCTAAGAGGAAAGATATTCATATCTCAACAAAATGTTGCGATATAGAAATTGTCATATGTCCTATTTATGAATTAACTGCCATTAATATAAAGATTTCTGATATTTCAGGAAATACTTCAATATGCTTTAATTCTAATCATTTCCATTTTATGGTAATTCCATGCCAAAATAGAAACACCTGTAGTGTATTTCCTTTTGACCTTTCAGACAGAGAAATAAGACCCACAGCTTTTCTCCTTTCATTCTCGTTTAGCTTAGATGTATCTGATCTTTGTCCCTATCCTTGTTAGAATCCAAATCACAAGGTCTTCCTTTGAAGTTCAGGCTGGGGAATCACCTGAGAGGTCAGCCCTGGTAGTAGCTTGATCTGACTGGGCAAGAATACCTAGCTATGTGTACAGAAGAAGTTTGTTTTACAATGTCTGCGGCTGGGATCTTGAGTCTGTGTGGGAATAGACTGTTGGTCTCACACATGTTCTCCTTGTGAGGAGTATCATGCTAAGGACAGGGGTCACCTGGACCCCTCTAAGTAGCCATCTAATCCGGCTTAGATCATTTCACAGGTCTCCTAAGCAATATCTGTATGCCTAACACCCACGGCGTCTGAAAAGTAGATGGGCCAGTAGAAACCCATCCAGCCACAGGGCATATCACAGGTGGTAATACTTCAAGGGAGGTATCAGTATCCCTACTTCCTCTGAACATGGTTATCCCAGAGTCACTTTCCAACCTTTGTGTGAGCTACAAATTCAAATCATGCTTTTAGTTTAGTTTCATTTCACCTAAGTACCATGAAGTAGTAGAATAGAGTATTTTTATTGTGTATGTATAACTGGATTTCTATGGTAAAAATTTGCATACTAGAGTTCTTCTAAATTGTGGTCTAATTTGCTAATCAGTCAGATTATTTCATGCTGAATAGAGAAGATCCATTTGAGCTGAAAGTTTACAATCAAGTCCTCTGCATGTATTTTAAGATCAAACAAAACAAAGGTAAACCAAAATTTAAATTACAACAACAAAAATAAAGTTCAATGTGCAAGTCAGGAACTCCCAGAAAAACAGAAAAAAATTCTAAGCTGTTTTTCAGCATTGAGAACAAACCCCAATTCTCTTTTGACTTCTCTGAGTTGTTCATTCCTCATTTTTACATATTGACTGGCTCATCCAGTTAGTAATGTGGTTGAAAACTTCTTATAGGCCATCACTGTGCTAAACAGTAAAGATATAATAGTGCATAAGGCCGAGTCCTTGCATTAAAGCAGCTTATAGATGTAGTGGGTCAGATGAAGAGATCATTTCAAGGCGCTATGGTTAAGTGTTCCAACAGGATTATATGTAGAGCAAAAAAGATACAGGGAACACAAGGCATAGAAGGAGAAAGGTTTAGTCCATTCTTGGAATAGCAGAGAGAATTTTCTAGGGAACGGACTTCTAAACTGAGGCTAAATCCTGGTTGTTGGAAAGAGATCTGTATGCTTTGTTTACTTGTATAGTGTACTCACAGTTCTAGCGGGAGACCGACCAATCTGGGGAATATCAGTGTGTCTCAGGATGACAGAACCACCAAACTCAGAGAAGTAGTGAAGAAGGACCAGATGGAGTTGTATAATCCAGTTCTTAATGTCCTTGTCTGACATGGAAGAAAGAGCAATTATCAATGTAAGTGGATAACTGACAAGAGGAAATAGCAATTATCAAGGTAAGTGAATAACTGACAAAGCAAAAAGACAAAACCAACAGATACAGACACTGTCATTCTCTACACCTACCGCTCTCCTTAACAGGGGACCACAAGCTCAAATTAGGCTATGCTATAAATCTGGGAAACTCAAGTTTGAAAATGTTGTTTAGTAAATATTGAGCAGTCATTGAATGTACCGGACAGCTAAGAATAGTTTCAATTACTTCATCAGCTGTTTCTTTGTAAATATGTCTTTAAACTATTTGAAAGTCCTTCAGAATAGCTTGTCTCTTAAGTATTTTAAGCATCCCTTCTGCAAGCTCAAATAGAAATTTCATTCATAACATTTTCATTTAGTTCAAAAACAGTGACTGCTGCCCAACATTTTAATGGTTATATGTTTTTATAATATTTATTGCATTTATATATAAATTTGTATATGTATTTAATTTAATAAATTTATATAAAATTAGTTTCATATATTTATGTACACTTATTTCTGTTATACAAAGTGAACATTTATATATTTGTATATAAGTGTACATTTACATATACAAACATTATAAATAATATAAAATTAAATAAATGTAAATATATATAAATAAATTGGGGACATCAAGTGATTAGGTTTTTATATGATTTCTTCTCTAAGCAATATGAAATTGAAACGCATATTAAAATAAAACAACTTAAAAATCTATACTTCAAGTACATGGTTCAAGTTTGTCCACAATTTCTTATGGAATATGACAATATACAATGAGAAGCAATGGGAAAAAAGTAACACTATTTCTAAAAGAAAACATCCCATCAATACACACAGAAATTAACCCACTACCTTAAAATACTTCTATGCGAGAAAAGGCTTACCAGAAATTAATGTTTTCATATTGCCACTATATCAAATGATCACAGTTTAGTTGCTTGAAATACATAAATATCCTATCCTCAAAATCAGAGGTTCAAAATCAGTTTCCCAAGGCTACAATTGAAGAGTAGGGTTGTGGTTCAATGTTCCAGTCTTTGCTTAGAACTCCTGAGGGCCTGATTTTGATACCCTTCCCTTAAAAAAAAAACAAACCAAAATCTGGTCTAACTAAACTTTACAAAATATACACATGGAGATATAAAGGGAAAACCCTTACTTAAGTGTAAATTAATTTGATTTTCAAGTATTCAAAAAGATAGTATGAATTTAATTAGATGGATTATTATTTAATTAGATGGATTTAAAAGGAGGGGAAGAAAAGGAAGAGGGAAAGAGAACAGAAGAGGCATGGAGAGACGGGAAACAAAGGCAATAAGAAGAAGGAAGCTTTTGACAGTTCCACAGTTACTTCATTGTTTTGCTGCATAGGAAGTAGCACGGCCTGACCATTTACCACGGAATTTCTCGTAACCTGTTCTGTCGTCCACAGGCAAGAGGCAGCAGGTGATGTGTAATTAATGCATACTGAGTCATTGCCCACTTCTCCTACAATTCAAAACACTGAACGCAGGAAACAGGTGACCCATAAAACGGAATTTCCCCCTTCGCCAGCAGACATACAGTGACCCCAAAGCATAATTCAAGTCACTTCTTTCAAAATACAAAACATAAAACTAGAGGAAAGAATAGAACTTTCATCAATTGAAATAGTAATGCCAAAAAAGAAAAATCCATCACAGAGAAAGAGAGAGGTATCTCTCTCTCATTTCATTTGAAAATACACATGGAGTAGATTGTATTGCCAAATCCAATGTTTACAGTTAAGAGTTGCAAAGAAAGAAAAATCAGACAGGATTCCAAATTGTCATCATGACAACTTCATGTCAGCCTGTCACCAGAAGCTACATTGCTCTCAGATGCCTGAAGTAACCTGTCTCCTTCATATTCATATCCCACACCCCTTTGGTGGTTCCAGGGCCACCTGGGATCCAAAATGAGAAAGTTTCCAGGAATCTTTTTGTTAAAAATTTTCTTTTATATTCTTCCTGGGGAGCAAGAATAGTGAGGAGGAAAAAAAATAAGGTGAAATGCATAGAAAAGACTACCTCTACAAATAGGTAACATTAAGAAGGAAATCTGAAGTGATTAAAATAAACAGGTGTACTGATGAAGGGAAGAAATAAAGTAAATGGAAAGATGATTACCACGAATAAAATCAATGAGATTCTTAGTTGAATTTTCTCCCTACAAAACTTCCCAAATAGCTTTCAAATTTCAGAGAATAGGCCGCCATTAGCTAATTTGGTATGTACATTTGACAAAAGAATCCAAATTTTTCCCGGAGTGTGTTTCATTGTACATGACAGACAGATGTAGGTGGCTACCACAATACCTTTTCTGTGTAATTTTTTCCTTACTTCTTATAGTCTAAATTCATTCTACCAGGGTAGAAAATGTATATACAAACATAACAAGACCAGGATGTAGGGTGAGGTTAGAAAGAGGAGTAAAGCCTCTATAAATTAATAAATTATTAGACTTTATTTCCTGATAATTGCCTTAATTTGTTCACATTATGGTCTCTAAGTAAGGCATAGTCACCAATTTTTCAAACTTCCCTAGGAAGGTATAGAGAAGTTGAAATGCATTTTTAATATTTTTTGAACTGTACATTAATATTAAGGAAAAAGCTATTACTGTACAGATATGCATGATTTGATGGGAAGATTTCTAGAACAATTGGATGCAAAGTTTCACAGGTCTTGAAAGTATACAGATGTCTCTATCCCCTACAGAATGTCCAGAATCAATCTCTGTGAGGGATGATTATAGCTTAACTGAGATCTGCTAATAATATTTTAATCCAAAAGTCCTTGGTGCTTCCAAGTAGCCCCTGCTGAGACACATTAGAGACTCCAAAATGAACAGAATGTTAAAAACTAACCAGATTTGGGAGAGTCTTTTGGCAAATTTGACAACAATTAGTGTCTATTAAGTTTTTATTAGTCTCATAGTAAATTAAGCTGAGGATGCCATATTTAACTATATACACTTTGTGTTTAACAAGAAAGGTTAGAAATATAAGAGCATGACATTGGGGCACATACTTATAATCCCACCATTCGGGGAGACTGGAGCACAAGATTGAAAGTTTGAGGCCAGCCTGGACTGCATAGCACGGTCCTATCCCCCCCCAAAAAAAGAAAGAAAAAAGAAATATGATAAAGATAATTACTGATGGAAAAATTAGATGCTTAGGGAAAATGGGGGAGGAAAGGTAGAAGGAAAGAGAGAGAGAGAGAGAGTGGCAAAGGAAAAGGGAGAAATTGAAGTGAAATCATCATTACTTATTTGTTCACCCGAATCAACTCAGAATCTGCAACATAAATACGTAGTCTAATAAATAGAAGAGCGGTCTCTTTACTTCCAAAAAACCTGTTCTCAACACACCTCTCCCTTCCCCATGAAACACCAGCCACCATGACATGGTGCTTAGAATCATATGAAGTCTATAGTTTGGGCCATTCTTGTTCTATCTTCCTTGATTATCAATGGAATATCTAAATCACTTCTTAAGAAAAGCAATTCTGATCATATCCTCCAAGATTACTACCCCATAGTCTTTTATAAGAACTTGAAAGTTGCTAATCCCTCATCCCGTGTACTGTGGGACCATCTCTCACACACACTGTCTTCCAGTCATGGGCATCTTTGTGTAGACATCTGAATTTGACACAGCCCCCCTGCCACACAATTGTGCAAATGCCGTCTCTTCTATCTGCACAATTCTTCCTGCTTTCATCAAGTAATTCATCCAAACTCAACTATTTCCCCATGGCCCAGGCATACATCTTTATAATTGGTAGGCACAGCTCTGCTTCAAGCACATTGTCACAGGAGCTGAGAATTACATGACAAAGGAAATCATTACCATTATTCTCTATTTTCAGGGCTAGTAAAACACTTGGCACGTTAAGAAACACACAGAACACATAAGAAGTATTGAATGAATGAAAGAATGAACAAATGAATGCGAAATGAATAATACATGGCAATCACTATCTCCTGCATCTCCACTGTTTGGGGTTTTTTTTAATGCCAAAAAATATGTTACCAAAGAATAATCATGTTCACGACCTGTTATCAGCCCTTCAGGAAATTATCTTCTCTTGTGGTTTTCTAAGAACTGAAAGAATTGGCAGTTAACTAGAGACATCCATGCCTATGTTGTTTAAACAGACAGACAAAAACCAGGCTTTAACAAAAGAACACATTTACGTTCATAATGTAAAGTTATTAATATCTCTGTAATGTTAAATTACCACAGCTATAATGTCAAAAACAAAAGAGATAACTATCTACCAAAATGAAAGACAAACAATAATGTTGACCGCTTGACTTCCAAAAGGATTAGATCTTATTTTAGAATTCCCACTGAAAAGTTAACAACTCTGTTCCCAACAGTTCGACATCATTTTCCAACAACTTTTCAGTCCTGGGTGCCAGCATGGATATTTCAACAGTGGGATTAAATGGAACAAAGCCCAATGGGAAAATTGCAACCGTGAAAATTATTTGAGTGTGCCTTTCCTTGTGATACCTGTCAGTTCACATTATGGAATGTAAACTTAATTAACTTTTGGTATCTGAATGACTCATTTAACTCACTAAGAATAGACCTGAATGATCAGCTGTTTGGGTATATAGAACAAAAGCAAGAAAAACTTAAGACATTAAATGAGATCATGTAGCATATAGCAGAGAACTTGGTCATCCTGGGGAGAGACTACTGCACCTAAATTCAAGATACTGGATATCTAATCTTTATTCTGTGGTTCTAATTCAAAATCTGAAGAAGGAAAAGATGCTCAACATTATTTGCTGTCAGGGAAATGTAAATCAAACCACAGCACTTTACACATACATAGTAGGATGACTAGGAAAATAAAAATAAGAGAAATTTATGTTGGCAATGATGTGAAAATTTTTACCTTTCTGTTGGAAATGCAGTGTGGTAGAA